GATTAAACCAAATTCCCTCAACACTAAGCTTTCTCCAGATGTAATTTACTATTTCTTCTATTTCATGACACTTAAGGAGTTCAACCAAAAGTAGAAATGAAGCCTTCAGAAGATGAAAGGTAAAGAACTGGTGATTAAAATAGCTTCGTCCAAAGGCCTTGAGAGACTGAGGCTACGATCTGTAAGTAACATTCCCCAAGCCACAGATACATGAAATCAACAAAAAGATGTTCACCCCAGAAAGCTGATGTCCTTTCACTAGCATGTGAGTGTTCTGTGGAGGTGGAACCATCTTCATCCCTGACTTTAGACTTGGTTCTGACATTGACTAGCTGCATGAACTGAGGCCTAGTATTTCTTGACCAGTGTCTGACAAATGGTGAGGATGTTCATTGGGGTATGAAATGAACCTCTTCTTACAGAAACAGAAGAGGGTAGGGTTATACCATTCAGTGTGATGGATGGATTTAGATCCTTAAAAGATAACATCGCAATATGGTTATTATTTTCAGAAGCATTATACAAACACACACATATGCACACACACACACTCATAAATGCTGGTGTAGACACTTAAATAATGAAGTTTTTACTTACCTTTGTCAAATAGGGCACATTTGTTGAAAACTAAACTTTTAAGATAAAACATTTATTCATTCTCATTATAAAGTACAATTTTTCCAGAATATTTGAGTGCCCGGAGGTAAATTACAGAGATGTGTACAAAGTGAAGCTATTTTCTAATCAAATCACTGACATGTTAAAAAAATTCATCTGAGTGAGGAAAAAAGAAGTTCTTAATCACGTAGTCTTCATTTCTTAGATGGAGTTTTTTTAAGATTTTATTTATTTATTTGACACAGAGAGAGAGAGAGAGAGAGAGCACAGCAGGGGAAGTGGCAGAGGGAGAAGCAGGCTTCCTGCTGAGCAAGGAGCCTGATGCGGGGCTCAATCCCAGGACCCTGGGATCATGACTTGAGCCAAAGGCAGACACTTAACTGACTGAGCCACCCAGGCATCTCTCTTGGGTGGAGTTTTAAAGGCATAGCAGTGAATGGTTCCAAGAACCCCCTCAGAGGTATCAGCTGGAAAAGCAGGGCAGCTTTGACCAGTCCTCTCTCTCATGTCCCTCAGGCAGGGGAGCAGACGTTACCTGCTGGACGTCACTCCCACCTGCCCGTTTATCTCCACCAGCCAACACATCTCACTTGCTGCGATGTCTTCTCTATATGTCAGGGTAATCCCTTTACAACTGGGATTTAATCACTTAACGTCCTTCTCTGAAAGCCTTCAAATGTTTCCTCTTGTTCTTGGGATGAATTTTTGTTGGTCTGTGTGTATTTTTTAATCCTAATCTGAATACAAGGCCTTGCGTGATCTGGTCCGCTTCATACGCAGCCAGCCTTCTCTTGGGTCATTACTGTGCATACAACCTCTCTCTTCAGAAGCGCCATCCTTCCCAACCTTGCCCAAGATGGTGCCTCTGCCTAACGGTGGGCACAGTGCTTGTTCCTGGCCTCTCCACACCCACTGGAGGATCTGACTGAGGTAGCATGTCATGCTTCAGCCCTGTTTCACACACGACGGGCTCGAGGCAGCTTCTGGCCTCCTCACCTCAATTAGGTCCCTCCTTCCACCACCTATTTTTTCCCCTCACTTTTCCTAGTTTCTAATGTAAACATCTTCCTCAGTTAACTGTATCCCCTGTGAGGGAATGAACTAGCTTTCTTTTGTTGACCATTGTGCTTCCATTGTGCCTGGCACATAGTACTTGCTCAAGACACACACACACACACACACACCCACACACAAAGATTCTGGCTGATCGTAGGTAGCCAACAGAATAGTGAATTTTTTCTTTTCTTTAAATTAGTACAAGAAGAGTCCTTTCTCGGTTATTGTAAAAGGTAATGTTGTTTCAAATTATGTCTCTACAAGGGAATAAACTGTATCATTATTTTTCTCTCCTTTAGGATGACCTGTCTCAGTACTTCTTAGTGACTTTCAAACTACCTTGAAATTGATTATTCACTATTATGGATAAATGCCAAATTTTATTTTTTAACTTTAATAATTTGTCAACTTTTCAAGAGGTTTGATTTTTAAAAATAGAATAAAAATTAAAATTAAAAAATTAAAAAAATTCAAAACAAATTGTCTCTCTAGTTCTGAATACTGAATTGCTACCAAGCTACAAATGGCAGCTTTTCCTTCATCACACACTTCTACCATGATACAATAACTCAGGAACTCTGAGAGAAGTTATCAAATTTGAACCTGTTAGCAAAGATAGTAACACTTTGAATGGCACTTGATCCAAATCATATGCCCTTTCCCCTACACACACACACACACACACCCCGCACCACTCAACACATACACACTGCTCGCAAAAGCACACACACGTCACCATGCACCCACACACACACTACCACCATCACATGCACACACGACATGCACACACACACCACAAACCGCACACATTGTATACACACATTCTGAGCACACATACACACAACACATACCATGCCCTGTGCATAAACAACTGCAGATGTCACACTTTCTTCATGAAAATAGTTTGTAGTAAGAGGTGGGAAATATGGAGGAGAGAAGTGTGGATAACTTGGGTTAAAGTCCGTGTAGAGTCAGTATTTCATTCACCTAACATATATTTCTAAGGATCTAGGATTTATTCATTCAATCTCCAGATATTTATTAAGTTCAGGTGACTTGCCAAGCATGTGGCAGGTATATTACTTGACACAGGCTACTCAGTAATGAATAAAACAGGTATGATCCCTAAGCTTGTGGAGCTTACATTTTGTGAGGGAAGACAGAAAATAAACCAGACAACAGGAAATAAGGTAATTTCAAGAAATGCCATGAAGTGCCGTGAAGGAAAGGGCCATCACAGAATCCTGGGGCCTGTGACCAGCCCTCCTTTCTAAAGGATGGTCAGGAGAGTGTGATGGGACATTTAAGAAGAGACATGAAGAAAGCAGCTGCTGGAGACACAAGTGTGTGTTCTAGGCAAAGGGAACAGTGTATCAGAAAGGCCTGGAGAAAGAAAAGACTTTGCGTGCCCTCGTAGCTAGGATGGGGCGGTGCAGCTGCAGCACTGTATAGATGAGGAAGTGGAAGTGTGGGAGGCAGGAGGACCACCTACCCCAATCTGCCCAGGACCAAGGGTCTTCTCAGGATGTTGGACTTTCAGTACAGAAGCTGGGACAGTTCCAGGGAAACCAGATGACCCAGACACCAGAGGTTCAAGACAAATTTGGAAAGACAGACTTTGAAAGAAATCCACACTTTCCTTGACTCAGCCATAGAAACTAGTATTACCATCACCATAATATATTAGAGGGACAAGCTACCTGGCTGTTTAATTAAAACTGAATCTTTTTGTTCTCATAGGACAATTGCTGGGAAAGGGGGAAAGAGATGCCTAGATAGTATCTTGGAAAGAATTGGTACTACTTTGACAATATTAATTAGCAAAAGTTAGGAAAATAAGAAAGTTGCATTGATGATTATAGCTTAACCATTACTTAAGATTTATCAGACTAAGTAAATGAGCTTTAACTTGGAAACTGTGATCTTATTCTAGCTATAGGGGCTTATGCTCATGTGTGCACGTGATCTAAACACATTATTTCTTCTTTCCTTCGTTTCTTCCTTCCTTCCTTCCTTCCTTCCTCCCTCCCTCCCTCCCTTCCTCTTTGCTTTATTAGTGCCATTCAGAAAAGGAACTGAAATAGCTAATGGTTATCTTTCCTTGAGTTTTATGCTTTTCAAAATACGATCACACTACCTTATTGAATCCCCACAGTAATTCCACCAAGTATGTTATGTTATTTTCAACATAAAATAAATGACTGTGAAAAGTAAAGTGACTTATTAAACATCACACAGCAACTTAAATGAAAGGTGGGCTGGAATTCAGGGCTCCTAACTCTAGACCAGAGTCCTTCCTAATATTGCCCTATGCTAGCTTAATGACTAGATTTTGTGGAAATTATAGCTCAGCTTAGAAGGAAATACAACTGTGGCAGCAGTTCTAAGAAATGTTGTAATTCTCTTCTAGAAATAGTCTGCCACATAGAGCAGAATCATGGAGGGCTCCAAAGGACAACAACATTTCTCCTGGGTCTCATCACTTTGTGTCAGGCCATCTTCACAATAACTGGGGGGACTAGGCCCCCCCATCAGGCTCTGACATTTTGCCTACCAAGTGGGTTGCACTGAAAGGCATGACATTTCTTACACCTTTGAAAACATCAGAGAAAATAAAAGAAATTGCTCTCCTTCTGAACTTTACCTCTGCTGGACCAAAGTGTTTGCTGACAGGGCAGGGATAAAAGCAAGAAAGGGGACGGTCCCATAAAGAAGAGATAAGGGGAACAGATTCCTGGGCTCAAATATTTAACAACTGACCAAAGTTCGCACCAGTAAAAGTGCTTTCTATAATACCTGCACTATCATGCCTTTCTTATTGATGAGCTAAGCAAAAATCTTGAAGTACTCCTCTCATCTGTCCTTCCATGATTACTGAGCATGTGGCATCTGCTCAGGTAAAGAATCAATTCACTGACACACAGATGGCTGGATGCCATTCCACCAAAAATAAAAAAATTTTTAAAAAAAGAAAAGAAAAAAAAATTGCTCTGAAGGTGTTTGCAACAAACCAAATAGCCCATTGACCATAGCCATGAAGGCTGTAATTTCCTCTAAGTCAGAGAGAAAGTCAGTAAAAGAATTAGATCTAGAATTCTTGTCTTCTGAAGACCACATTATGGACCTGGTCTTCTCCTGTTCATTCATTTGCATCCTATGAGTCAGCATTGCAGTGGTTAGCTGACCCTTGTTCCTGGAATCACTTATTGCTATTACATCTGGCCTTAGGACTCATTAATACACTAAACTCTAATTTCTGGAATCATTACCATGTGATCATGACATCACAGAAGCCCAGCAGTTCCGTCTCCTGATCTTTTGAACAAAGCCACAGAGTGATAGTGGGGAAGATCTGGGAAAATGGCCTGCTCAAGTGAGATCCAAGCAGCGTTTATTCTCTCTTCCTTTGTGACCTTCTTCCTTGGACTCCTCATCTTACTCATTTGCAGACTAATCTGGAGAACCATTAAAAAATGGCAAAACATCAAGGGAACAGGAATTCTCTTGGTCAGTTTCCTTATTTTGGATCCTACTATATGAAGATTGAGACAGGTTTGGCAAGTGACTGGGTTTAGAAAACAATTTAAGCTTCACTCAGTTTTCATGAGCTAACAGAGCCAGATCTAATCCAGTGCCTTAGAAAGGGGCTGATCCTCCCCTGGGGTAGAAAACAGGACCCCAGGACACCATTCCAAAGGCAGCAGGTACAGAGCTGGGCCTCCTCTCCCACCACTCAGAGAAAGAATGTCTGGTGTGGCTGATGATGAATGATAGCTCTGGAAACAGAGAGTCACTATTATGAAAAAAAAAACAAAAAAATGCCCACAAACATTACATCTATGCCTCTATTTTGAATTTTAAAATGATAGTTGTGCTTGGTACCATGAGGCAGGCGAAGACCACCATCAGGTCAACCTTACTTTCATAAATCACGCATGCAGGATGCATATGTACTTAACACATGTACAGTGTCTTTTATATACCATTAACACAACACACCTAGTTGTACATTCATTCATACAGAAACCCATGCATACATTCACATGCCATCCAGCCACAAATGCAGAGACACTATTCATAACCAAACAAGCTTTGCAAGGGTGGGGGTTGTGGGGTAACAGCTAGCAAATGATGATGACGAGAATAATGGTATCTTAGATAAGACTTTGCTTAAGAGCTTGAAATAAAACTCTCAAATGCTGTATAATGGCTGTTCTAATATCGGTGGTCAAAGGCAGAGCTTTATTATGCTCTGTGTGATTTGTTTCCAATTTTTGTTTCCCAAACTTTGTTTTACTGATATAGCAATTTCCGTAACAGAACACATTTCACTTGTGCATTGTAGTCAATATTGAAAAGTTGCTTAAAACATTTCTCTTAATGGTAAACATTGACATAAAATAACAGAATTCGTAATAACTTGGTAACTTTTTAAGGTCATTGGCAATAATCATAAAATGGAATTCAGGTTTCTGCATTCAACATGTACCCAGTACAGTAGTTCATAGATTTGGTTGCTAAATGAGTCCCCTCTATTCTTAATTTTTGTAAAGACTTTAAACAGTGGCATAAAAACTGTGGAAAGAATTCTGAGGAGCACTTACTCCTTAACAAGACTGATAGAGTACACAAATAAGTAATGGGTATGGAGAATCTGCCTTCTACTTTTTTTTTTTCCCAATGCACGACTGAATTGCTAGAATTGTTTAATCGCCTTAGATTTCTGCTCCAGAAAATGTATCTTTTCCCCCCATTGTATTTATTTTTGTATGGTTACAAAAATGTGAGAATCTATTTGTCCATAAACATTTGCAGTATTTTTCCCTTTTTTTGGATGTAATTCATGTCTACCCTTCTCTCCAGAGGTGTCTTTTAATTTCTAATAGAAAGCAACTATTATGAAATGTTAAGAAGTAGGGTCCAAGCCTCCAGAATACTCTACTTTTCTGGTTTTGAACCTTGAGAGAATTTGATACAAGCTGAGTGACTTCTCGGTAACTTGTTATATTTAATTAAATTGAGAGTGCTGTATTTTTTCTCTAAGCCTTTGGGAAAGTTGGCCTAATGCAAAAAATGCCACAACTGTCAAAGAAGTTTTAAAAATTATTTGAAGTCATAGTTTTCTCCTTAAATGTGCATTTTTAAAATGTTTACTACATTCATAAGTATGATTTTATTATATTTTATCTTAGGGTCAATTTGTTTTCCCACAGAAGGCTCCTCTAATTTCATAATGAAATTCAAACGAGTGTTCCACATTAATGTTATACTGAACATCTTTTTTTTAAATCAAGTCTCAGACAACATCTCAGGAATGCACATGATGAGTCATAGATATTAGAGGGCAAATCACTGATCAAGATATGAGTTCTATTATCAAATAGTTATTTAATGAGACTTTTCTTTCTACCATTCAGAGATTATGAGTAGAAAAATTAAGTCATTTCAAAACCCTGGCTCCATATATAATGAGTTTTTCTAAAAGTCGGAGGGTCTCAGTCAGCATGGTGTGGTCAATCCTAGCTCACTTGTGTCTTTCTTGGTGGTAGCTTATCAATAGATATGGGGGCTAGTTCAGACTCCAGCCTCTTATCCCCTGCTTATGGGCCAGTTAGGTAATTTCTCTATATCCCAGTTTCCTTATCAGTAGATAGCAGTTTTAATCACACTTATTTTGTCTACTTCCTAGGATTACTATAAATTTTAAATATAATAAGTAAAGGCACTTTATAAATATGAGAAGGGATTATATCAGCAGGATATGTCACCAGATAAGGAACTAAAAGCAACACAAAATTGCTGAAACTTTCCTTCTTTCCCAAAAAAGAGCAGATACTTAAGTAACCACTAAAAACCAATTTGTAATCTTTTTCCTTCGTCCATGTATCTTGATAGAAAAGGATAAGAGACGTTCCCAGAGCAGGAAGAAGCATGCTATTCCCAATCCTGATCACTACAATAATGTCAGTCTGAAGGGTCTAGGACTGTAGAGCATGTGAAGAAGGCATGGTGAAGACCGCAGAATTCCTAATTAAAAAGCTGTGCAAAAGACCAGTAAAATGCAAACCCAGTAAAATTCATTTCATGATATGCTGAATAAGCGACTTTGGGGTTCTCTGGGTTGGACAAGGTATAGTAATTTCCGGCTGATAACACAGCAAGAGGCTCTACCAACATACATAAAACAGATTACTTTCTCTGGGATCCAGCTCACTCTCACTTCTTTTCTCTTCCTTATAGGAACTACTCTTGACAAAGAGCATCGGGAGTAAACATTTAAAAAGTCTCCACTTCCAAGGAGTATTTCGTAATCGTATAGAAATGCTGCTTTCAGCACAGACCTTTGTGGGTCAAGTGTTGGTAAGTGCATTTTCATTGTTAGCTTGCTAACATACTTTAGCCATAAGTGTGATTATAGTCCGTATATATAATTTTATCACCTAGGTAAACATCTGGTGTTCCCTGGTGGCCTTTTCTAAAATATCACTGCCTCCCCACTGCCATCTCCCTGTGTCTACCCTATCCGTTATTCTGCTTGTTTTTAATTTGAATATAATTACTTGGCATTATAGTTTCAATTGATCATTAGTGTATGTGCTAGAAGAAAAGCCTTATTAGGACAAAGATTGTGTTCATTTTGTTTTCTTTGTATGTAGATGGATGCCTGGCATATAGATGTGCCCCAAAAATGTGATGTTTAGTGGATCATGGGCCTGAAATGTACAACTATTTTCTCCTTCTTTGATTCCAATAGCCTCTTTTCTTCATTATATACAAATTAGTCTCTTTTGCCTCTGTATGATGATATTCATCATTTTACTACCTATTTTAATCTAGGTAATTTGCACATATTACAAGTCAATTCAGGTATAATCTCATAGGGGAAAATCTTACCTTATCTTCATATTAGGCTAAGAGTCCATCTCTAAGCTTCTATAATATTCATTGCACACTGTTATTAAAATTATCTGTATATATGCCTGTCTCTTCCAGTGTACTGTGAGCTCCTTAAGAGAACAGACTAGGCCATGGAAATATTTATATCACATTGTCTGGAAATAGCAGATGCCCTATAAAGGAATGAATTGATCTGAAACATTAAAGAGTAGAATCTATATTTTGAAGGTATGCTGCCATCAGATGGTGATATGGTGGAAGTAGATGTATGTGAGCTAGAGATTATCCTCTGCTTTTTTTGTAATTGGTGAAAACATTGCTCTGTTCTGGTTAATGTTGTTTAATTAAAATAAAATTACTTTTTAAAACGTATTTGGAAATATATACATATATAATTGTTCTTGCTAAAATCTACAGGGAATGTTGAATCATCTGGGAATGTGCCTCTCCTTTTTTCTTTCTTCTAGTTTTGGTCCTTTTTCTGAAATGCCTGTCAGTATGACCTGTTAGAGAAGAATTTAGTGATTCTTTCTGATTAGATCAGGGATTTCTTGGCTAGGATCTCTTCAAATGTTCAAATCATGTGTGACTGTATGGAGATAATATTGGGAATGACATATTAAAGGTCTCTGGGCTGAGGGAGAAGATAACTTACACCATCCACCCTATGGGCATCGTATATGGGGAGTGGATGAAGAAGGAAAGACCATTGATTACATACCAATAAAAATTACTTCTTTAATAATGGAAAAATTTTTTTCAATCTGTTACAGCTGATGATTAAGTAGTTGGAACAACAGGAGGCACAGAGTAGAGTTTAGATTAGAATAAACACTCTAACATTGAAAGGCACTCCTCAGTAGGGGTTCCAAGCAAGTATGTTATGAAGGGCTGAGAAGAGAACAAAATGGTTTGTAGATTTCCCTTCCATCCATCCATCCTTCCTTTCTTTGTAATTCCCTTACTTCTTTCAACAGATACTTACTCTTTGCCAACTACATGCAAAGCCGACATTCTAGACACGGTGAAAATGCAGATGAGAGTCTTAAATCTCATGAGACTTAGATTCTAGTGGGGGTAGAGATGACAAATATGAATATAAATAAAATAAATTCAGACGGTGATCAATCCTACCAGGGAATTATGAGTGATGTGTTTGAGAGTTTTGGAGGAAATGGAGTTAGATCACATCAGATACAGTGATCAGAGAAGAAATCTCTGAAAAGGTAAGATTTGAGTTAAGACATGAAGAATCAGAAGTATAAAGCCACTGAAGAGGAAACAAGGTTACTGACGGAGAGAACAGACTTGTGGAGGTAAAGAGCTCAGCTTACTGCAAGTACCACAATAAGACTCCTGTGCTAGAGGTCACGGAGGGCAGAGCAGAATGAGGTCTGAGAAGAGACAGGAGAACCATGCAATGCTTTGCACTTCATACTAAGGAAGTAGGTTTTTCAAATGGAATAATTTTACTCTAATGCAAAGGGAAGTCATTGAGGGTTTTTTGAGCATGAAGTTGACATGGTCTAATTATGTTTTAAAACTTCAAGAGGCACTAAAGTTTGAAAATAAAGGAACTGTCAAAAGTATATCAGGCAAGTGACAACAGAAATTGGGAGCATATCTTAATATCAGATAAGTTTGAATTCAGGGCAAAAAACAATAAATTAAGCCAAGTAACCTGTATTAGTTTCCTAGGATCACTGTAACAAAGTACCACACACCAAGAGAAAACAACAGAAATTTTTTGTCTTGTGGTTCTGGTGGCTAGAAGTCAAGGGTTGGTTCCTTCTGAGGGCTGTGAGAATGAACTGGTTCCATGTCTCTCTCCGAGCTTCTGCTGGTTGGTTAGTAATCTTTGGTGTGCCTTGGCTCATACATGATCCAGATCTTTGCCTTCATTTTCACATGGCATTCACATAATGTCTCCTCTGCTTGTGTATATACCCAAATTTTCCTTTCCCAAGGACATCAGTCATACTGAATTAGAGCCCATCCTCATGATCTTAAATATATCTGCAAAGACCCTATTTCCAAACAAGGTCACTTTTGGCAGTACTGAGGGTTAGGACTTCAACATATCTTTTTTTTTGGGGGGGACACAATTCAACACACAATATTTGTAATGGTAAATATAACAAACCTCAACCAAAATATAACATCATGAATATCACCAAAAATACAAATACCAAATATCACCAAAAATTACCTACACCAAAAATATAACTTCAAGATAATAAATTAAAAAAATTATAAGATATAAATACTAAAAACACATTGGTTGTAGGAGCTTTTAGTTCACCTATCATATAGGGATATAATAAATAGGAAAAAAATAATGTTAAAAAACAAAATTCAACCAAGTAAACTTGAAGATGTAATTGGCTTTATTAAGCAATTCATGAATCAGGTAGCATCCCATCTAACAAGCAGAGAGATAACTCTGAGGAGCTGTACAAAACAAAGTTTTTATAGGAAGGAAATTGGAGCAAGGAAGCTATTAGCAAAAGAAAAGAAAAAAATTTTTCAGGGAAGGTCACCTTTCCTTAGGGGATAGAGCAGGCAGATTACTTCACTAGTGCTGGTCAGGAATTTCCAGACTGATTGGTTTAAAACTGCATTGCCAGGAAAGGCTAAAACAGCAATTAGGTTAGGTATTAAGTCTTTTGTGGGGCTTAACATAAATTACTCCACTTTGGACCTGTTTCTTTTTAACAACAATAAGCATAAAGAAGATCAAAGTAACTTAATTAATAAGAGAAACCGGATTGAAATGATGAAATTCCATATGCTGAAAACAGAAATTAAACTTACAAGTGTCTATGGACTATTTGTAAAAAATTAGCATATACTGGGCCACAAAAAAAAAGTCCCAATTATGAAACCTACAAAGTACAGACAGACATTAACTGAACACAGCACAATAAGAAATAAGAAAACAATAAATAAACTCAGAAAAAAAAAGAAAAACAAAGACCTTACAGCTACAAATTGTAACATTTCCCTCTCTCAAAAGAACCTTAACTCAGAAAAATTAAAATAACACTTGCAGTATCTTTAAAACATAAAGATAACGAAAACACCACATACCCCTTGCACCTAGAGTACAAGACGGAAGTGGTTCTGAGTTAAATGCCTAACAATAAAAACTTATTTTGATAAATGAAAATAATTAAAATAAATGAATTATCAATCTCAAAAAATTAGAGAAAGAAAACACATTAAATCTATGCAGAATATAAAGAGTTAGAAATTAATGAGTTATAAAACAGCTTATTATTTAACACAATAACACAGAGAAATCAATAGCTAGCCTAAACAAGGAAAAAAAGAGAAAAAGCACAAATATATAAGAAATAAGACATTAAAATGAGGACACAAATAAAAAGCAAATTGAAAGCTATATAAGCAATTAAATTTGAAAACTGAATGATTCCTTTGGACAATATAAATTACCAAAACTGATCATAAAAGAAAGAAACTTAAACAGACAAATATCTGGAAGAAATACAGATGTTGTCAAAGACCTGTATCACCACCACCACAATCACCCCTCCTCCCCCTCCATCTGTGGGAGACCTAGATGATTTCAAGGTCTAGTCAACCAAATCTTCAAGAAGTGGATATCCCAAATGTTAATTAAACAGGGTATCGAAGAGAAAGAAAACATTCAATTTTCTTTTTTTCAATGAAGGCACAGTATCTATATCAAACCCCCCAAATAGAGCAAGTAAAAAAAAATCTACAGACTAAGATTTTTTAAGTATCCTTAATACTTTGGGGGAGGATTCATAGCCAATCACACAGTGGAAGAAGAACAAAAGGACAGAGGAGGAAAAAAGAGAGGAAGATGAAAAAAGAGGAAAAGCAAAGAAAAAGAAGGAAAATGAGGAAAATTCTAATAGTCAAAGGGAAAAATATATTATTTTCAAAACAGGATACCTTCTAGAGATCCCTCTCTAGATTAAAACATGGCAAAGTATTAATCAACTCTGTAGCATCTGTGGGTGTGTTGTTTTAGTCATCACAAGTTATGTTAGGACTATCTTTGGGAGATTTTCTTTTGCATTAAGTTCCAAATATAGTCCTATTCCTAAACAATGTTTCCTTTTTTTCCAGGGCATAGGGGTTGTAGTTAATTGTGTAATTGACTATGCTTCTCTGTTGCTTTGATGGCTAGAACATTCAGAACTAAAATTATGGCTTATCTTTAAAAAATATATCTATTTTTGGCATCATTCTAGGCACCATTTTAAGTCCACATTCTGTTTTCCCATCTTCCCTTGCTTCTATTTTCTCAGGTAATCCAGCACTTTATGTGTCTTTGTATTCTGTTTTAACTCTTTTCCATAAATGTGTAATCTTTTCTGTGAATGTGTAAGTAATTTGTAAATAAGCCCTTAGCTAGAGCAAGAGTTGTCAATCTTAGTATTCAGAACAACTAAATGAGCAAAGGAAGCATC